TGCGCTCAGCTCCCCGGACTGCGGCCGCCGCCGCAGTTGCGCAGCCTGCCCTTCGGGACCCTGGCGCTGGGTGACACCAAAGCGTTGGACTCGTTCTACAACGCGGGTGAGCGCGCGCTGGGGGCGGAGCCGGGATCCGGGCAGGGATCGGGGTCTTGGGAGGGGGCAAAGCGGGCGTGGCTCGGCGGCTCTAGGGAGGGGCCAAGACGGGCGCCGGGTCCGGGGGCTTAAGGAGAGCTAGAGGTGAAGGGCTTGAGGCGGGACGGTGATAAAAGTGTAGTTTAGGGGGTCTGGAGCGCGGCTGGGCTCGCGATGGGACTTAGAGATCCAGGCCTGACTCCGGGGTCAGGGTTGGGGCTTAAGCACCCTCAGTCGGGCCGAGCTCAACAAGCGGGGCTGGGATTGGGGCGGGGCTAAGGAGCTCCCGGGCGGAGCTGCGAGCGGGACAGGGCTGTGGTCTCTTAAGGGTGGGGCTGGAGAATTCACCCTCGGTGGGACCTCGCAGGGATTTCTTGAGGGCAGACCCTGGGAGGGGAGCTTGGACTCAGGGAAAGGGGCAGTACCAGGGAGGCTGGAGTTCAGAGGTCCTAGCATACTACTTTCGAGGGCCGAGCTAAAGAGACAAAAAGGGCAGCGAAGCAACCCAGTGAGACTGGACTGTGGGGAAAGGAGTTTAGGTGTAGGGGCCCCAGCAGCTAAGCGAGAAGGAGCGAGCAAGGGCGAGGTTGGAGGAGGGGCAGAGTCGGCCGGGGGCGGGGCCAGAAGAAGGCTATTCCCACCCGGGTCATCCCTGCCTCCTGCCGACCCAAATGCTCCTCCCAGATACTTACTTGTTCATCCAAGAGTCCAGAGGTCATGCTTCCTAGATATCCATGATGTCCTCAAAATGAAGGCTGGGCCGGACTCGGTAGTTCATGGCTGTAGTCTTAGCACTTTGGGAGGTCAAGGCAGGAGTATCTATTGCTTGACAGGAGTTCGAGACTAGCCTAGACAACATAACAAGACCTCCAAAAAAAGAAAAGTTAGCAGAGTGTGGTGGCGCACGCCTACAGTTCCAGCTACTTGGGAGTCTGAGGCAGAAAAATCGCTTGAGCCCGGGAGGTTGAGGCTGCAATGAGCCCTCATGGTGCCACTGCACTACAGCCTGGGCAGCAGCAGGAGACACAAGAGAAAAAAAAAAAAGAAGGTTGACCTGACCATGAGGACACAAATACACATACAGTCATTGACAGACTCACAAATAGCATACATGTTGACTTATGCAGGCCCTAGCAGGCCCTGTCACACACAGAGATGCAATCAGACAGTAAGCTACACACACACACACACACACACACACACATACCTACACACACACACACCTACACACACACAGGCACAGCTGATGGTGTCAGCTCCTTTCAAGAGACTGGGCTGAAGACCCTGGGGAGACTTCTGTGTTTGTACAACTCCTGCCTCCCAAATGGCCTGGAACAGACTCTGTGCTGGTGCACAGCCTCCTCTCCCCCATACCTGGGGATCACAGGCTCTGAACAGTGAGATGAAGGTCCCAGCCCAGTAAGCCCAACTTCCCTCCCACAACACCACAGATATCGGTTCTGGGAAAGAGCTGAAGGGGCCCTAAAAGAGGGAAACAGGCCCAGAGCAGAACTGGACCCAACTGGAATCCTACAGCTTGGCAGGCCAAGCCAGGATGGACCCCCAGATTCCCTCCCCATCAGGCGAGGCTTTGGGGCTCAGGGGCTCCTCCTCTGTGCCCACAGATGTGGTGGTGCTGGAGGTGAGCAGCTCACTGGCCCAGCCTTCCCTATTCTACCACCTTGGTGTGCGTGAGAGCTTCAGCATGACCAACAACGTACTCCTCTGCTCCCAGGCCGACCTCCCGGACCTGCAGGCCCTGCGGGTAGGTGGCCAGGTAGCTGATGGGAGCAGGCACAGGGCTGGGGTGGGGCCTACTTAGAACACCAGTGTCTGACTGTCTGCCTCCTGCAGGAGGATGTTTTTCAGAAGAACTCGGTGAGCAGAATCCCCTCGCTCCAAAGTGCCCTTTGACCTGCATGTGACCCCTGACCTCCACTAATCTCCCTGGCCTCCTCAGTCACCTAATGCTCCCTAACATCCACATGACCCTCTGTTTCCTATTTCCGCCTTTCATGAGGTGTGTTCTCTTCCTGCGATTCCCACCTCCACTGGTGCTGGCCAGTGACCCCTCACTGCCCCTTTCTAGCCTTGTGCTGACCTCTGACCTCCACTGATTCCTGCCTCCCTCCCACCAGGACTGCACTGGCAGCTATACACTGATCCCTTATGTGGTAACAGCCACTGGCCGGGTGCTGTGTGGTGATGCAGGCCTTCTGAGGGGCCTGGCTGATGGGCTAGTGCAGGCTGGAGCAGGCACTGAGGCCCTGCTCACTCCCCTGGTGGGCCGGCTTGCCCGCCTGCTGGAGGCCACACCCACGGACTCTTGGTAATGAGGGCCCCCGGGAGGGTGCACCAGGAGGAGGCTGGTGAGGGCACAGGGGGCTGGTGCTGAGGCACAGGCCCCACCATTCTTTCTTCCTGCCTTCCCTGCCCTGGGCATCAGTGGCTACTTCCGGGAGACCATTCGGCAGGACATCCGGCAGGCACGGGAGCGATTCAGTGGACAGAGGCTGCGGCAGGAACTGGCTCGCCTGCAGCGGAGACTGGACAGCGTGGAGCTGCTGAGCCCCGACATCATCATGAACTTGCTGCTCTCCTACCGCGACGTGCAGGTATGTGGCGCTCAGAGAGGCGGTCAAGCTATGGGCATTTGAGGGCAGACAAACCTAAATTCAGCTCCTAGCTGAGTTGCTTGCTTGCTGGTGGCTTTGAGAAAATTACCAAACCTCTCTGAACCTTGGTCCCCTTCTTGGTAATAAGGGATGATCATGTCACGGCCTGCCAGGGCAGTTGTGAGGTTGGGGACACCCAGCACGGGGCACACAGTAGGTCCTCCTCTTAAGATGTGGCATCTGCTGTACCTGCTGGGCCTGAGGGAACTAGGCGTGCAGAGGATGGAAGGCGGGAAGGCGGGATGTCAGGGGTGGCACAGAACCTGCCTCAAGGTTTTCATCAGGGCCTGGGGGCCCATCGTGCTAGTGCTTGCTGTTCCCTCCTTCAGGACTACTCCGCCATCATTGAGCTGGTGGAGACGCTGCAGGCCTTGCCCACCTGTGATGTGGCCGAGCAGCACAATGTCTGCTTCCACTACACGTTTGCCCTCAACCGGTGAGTGGCAGGGCAAGGCTTGGGTCGTGGCTACATGGAGTCCTCAGTGGCCTGGGTCTCCACTGTGTGAAGTCCTTGCTGTCTGGGATTACTGCTGCTCAGGGACTTTGCTGACTGGGGTCACTGATGTCAACAGGTCTCTGTTCTTGGTTACTGCTTCCCGGGTGTGGGTGGAGGAGGTGGTGCTGCCCTTGATGTGGTGGTCACAGCTGTCCAAAGTCACTGCTCCCTAGAGCCATCGCATCTAGGAATCACTTTCATCTGAGGTCCAGAGAAGTCAGTGCTGGCCAGGGTCACCTTCATTTTGAGGTCATTGTTGTCAGGCCCTGGAAGGCTTCCTGCTGTTCAAGGTCTAGGGGTCCCTGGACAGACAGGGTCAGTGCCATCAGGCAGGTCCTGAGCCCATGTTCCCTTTTCCCTAGGAGGAACAGGCCTGGGGACAGGGAGAAGGCACTGGCTGTGCTGTTGCCACTGGTTCAGCTTGAGGGCTCTGTGGCGCCCGATCTATACTGCATGTGCGGCCGTGTCTACAAGGACATGTTCTTCAGCTCAGGCTTCCAGGATGCTGGGCACCGGGAGCAGGCCTATCACTGGTAAGGAGCACAGTGAGTGGCCTGTGGGCTGAGCTGGCGAGATGAGGGGTGCAGCTGTGGGCCTCAGTCCAACCCTCTGCCCGCCACCCCCACCCAGGTATCGCAAGGCGTTTGATGTGGAGCCCAGCCTCCATTCAGGCATCAATGCAGCTGTGCTCCTCATTGCTGCTGGGCAGCACTTTGAGGACTCTGAGGAACTTCGGCTAATAGGTGAGCCTCGGTCCTGGCTCCTGTTCCCCGCCCTCCGGTGCTTGGGGGGCCCCGGAAAGAGGGCAGGGAGAGGAAACGCTTGGCAGGAGCTTGGACTGTGTTTATCCATTGTGGACTATTCTGCCCAGCCCCACACCTGGGTCCTCATACCTGTCCAGAGCCCTCAGGAGCCCTCAAGCCCACGACTGTTCTCAAGCTCACACCTGTGCTCATTACACCATGAATTCCACATACACTTGAGCCCAAATCTCACCTGTGCCTGAGCGTCTACTCCCACCTGAGATCTTGCCACACCCAGCCTTTTACCCATGTCTGTGTTCATGCCCACACAGACAGTGAGCCTTACTCACACCAGCACCCACGCTCACTGGAGCCTGTACCCCTCTACCTAGGCATGAAGCTGGGCTGCCTGCTGGCCCGCAAAGGCTGCGTGGAGAAGATGCAATATTACTGGGATGTGGGTTTCTACCTGGGAGCCCAGATCCTTGCCAATGACCCCACCCAGGTGGTGCTGGCTGCAGAGCAGCTGTACAAGCTCAATGCCCCCATATGGTAGGTGGCACCCTCGGCATTCTTGGCCTCGCCTGTTGGCTCCTGCACCCATGTCCTTTGGCACTCTAGCCTGAACCCTGAACCGGTGACCCAGCCACTTTCAGACCAGTGCCCATGGCCCTCAGTGCTCACGTTCTGCCTACTTCCAAGCCAGTTTACTCTCCCTGGCAGTGCTGGTTGGTACCTGGGCTGAGCTGAGGACAAGGCTGTGCCTGCAGGTACCTGGTGTCCGTGATGGAAACCTTCCTGCTCTACCAGCACTTCCGACCCACGCCAGAGCCCTCTGGAGGACCGCCACGCTGTGCCCACTTTTGGCTGCACTTCTTGCTACAGTCCTGCCAGCCGTTCAAGACGACCTCTTCCCAGGGCCACCAGTGCTTGGTAAGGCCTGTAGGGGCGGGGGACCTAGGAAAGGGGCCAGCCCCTTCTGACTGAACCCTCTTCCCTACTGCCCGCAGGTGCTAGTCCTGGAGATGAACAAGGTGCTACTTCCTGCAAGGCTGGAGGTTCGAGGCACCGACCTGGTGAGCGCAGTGACCCTGAGCCTGCTGGACCCTGAGACTCAGGTGAAATCGCTGTTGAGGCCTCTCACTCACCACTGGTACTCGCTCTGTGAAGCCTTTCTCCCATTCTCAGGCCCCTCACCCGTCACACTCATCAAGCCCCGTGTCTCCTCCCAGGATGCTCCCTCCAGCCGGACCTTCTCAGCCGCCTCCATCTGCGGCGTCAGGTGAGAGGCCAGACCTGGAGGGGGCTTGGTGGCGCGTGGGGGACGCTGTCAACGGGCCTGGGGCTCACTGAGTGCTTCCTGCCTCCGCAGCGCCTCCAAGCGGGACGAGCGCTGCTGCTTCCTCTACGCGCTGCCCCCGGCTCAGGACGTCCAGCTGTGCTTCCCCAGCGTGGGGCATTGTCAGTGGTGCGCGCAGCTTCTCGTGGTCGGGGCACCCCGAGGGCCAGGATACGCGGGGGGGAAGGGGGGGAAGGCACGACGTCCCCCAGGTGCTCCCAGCTCAGGTGGGGTCGGTTCCCGACCAAGATGCCCCTCCCGCCCGTCTGACCTCTCTCACCCGCAGGTTCTGCGGCCTGGTCCAGGCCTTGGTGACGAACCCGGATTCCATGGCGCCCGCGCAGGAGCTGGAGGGCGTAGGGGAGGTGCTGGAGGTGAGGACTTGGGCTGGGAGCTCGAGGAGGCTGCAGGGCTGAGGGCCCCGGCGAGCCCCCATCTCACCCCGGTCCCGGCAGTTTGATTACGAGTACACGGAGACCGGAGAGCGGCTGGTGCTGGGCAAGGGCACGTACGGGGTGGTGTACGCGGGCCGCGATCGGCACACGAGGGTGCGCATCGCCATTAAGGAGATCCCGGAGAGGGACAGCAGGTGCGTGCGCGGGGGTCGCGAGCCGGGCTAGGACTCGCGCGGGCCCGTGTGGGCGGGCCCACGAGCGGAGCGCTCCTG